ACGGACCCTACGAGCTCCCTGGACAGAGATGGCGCCAGGCCCGGGGCTCTTAAGGGTGACTCAAGGGGGGCCAAGTCGCAAACTCAGCTTCGTTGGGTTTCCCAGGCCCGCAACATCACCGCGTCCAGCAGGATGGTTCCCTAGGCCCGGCGAGGCCAGTACTCGCGACTGCCAACATCCCCACGTCAAAGCTCTATCTCCGCACAAACTGGCTGCCCGAGCAGTATCGACCGTGGAAGCGTGCTCGCCTCCTGTCTGTGAAAGCCTCCGTTAGCTTATCGACGAGTTCGAGGTCAAGAGCAGTGGGATCTTTGATGGAGTCCAGCCCGAGAATCAGATCGTGTAGCACTGCAAAGAATCCAACTCGAGTCTGCTCAATCCAATAAGAGACGTCTTTGGCATCGGCGGCGAATTGGAGGACATTTTTGAATTTTGTCTCAAGTTCAATGGCGCTCAAACGGGACAAACTAGAGAGAAAGCAACGGTGAGATTCTGCAACTGCTTCGTGGTCGGATGCGTCAAAATTGCAGAGAAAGCAACGCCATGCTCGCTCTATGCAAGAAGTGGCGTATGCATCCAGCGCATTGACAACAAATCTGACTTCATGTCTGAAGCATTCCGCCTTGCGAGTGTCCCTACTGAAGAGCTTCTTGAAGACAAGTCGCCTTGGATGATCTGGCTCGGACAGCACCATTCGGGCATGATTGCTCAGGAGAAGCCATGCGTGAAGTGTTGTATAAGCATGAATATCTTCAAAAAAATTCTCAAAGCATGAAGGTGGTACGTATTTGACCGCGACATGGGCGAGTGTATCGATCGTATTAGCACCGCCACAACACGGGATCGAATCATAATGCAAGCGACACTCTCCCTCCTCTCGTGTCCAGCCTGCTTCATCCATAGATGAGAGAAACTTTTGCATTATAGTGCGTGTTGATAGTATGCCATGTCTTGGTACTAGTAGCGTCAAGAACAATTCAGACTGCCGTGCCGCTCCTCCAAGGACATGTTGCCGTAAGACAAAGCATTGCTCCAATAAACTTTCGTCAGAATCGAGCAAGACTGATGCGGACGCGCCTTTCACACAGCTTATTTCCCTGCCCAAAAGCTGCAGTACGTTTCTCCGTGATGACATGTGAAAAGGCATGATTTGTATTGAATTTGAGAAGAACGGCAGTTTTTTCGGGATGAATTTCTCGCCGTTGCTCTTCCATACCCTGTGAGCTAATGCGGCCACATGACAGATATCTCCGGCCGTCGCCGCTTCGCCATCATCCCCATAGCCATCCATGCGTCGCTCTGCTCGTACCGGTGGATATGGTTTTAGCCCATCAGTCTCAATGGCAATGAGATCATTATAGGAACCTGTCACTGCGATTGTATTTGAATCTTCCCTATTAGGCATCAATTTTCCCGAAACCTGTCCATTAAATTCTGAGTCCTTCCGCTTTGCGCGGGCTTCATGGCTAGTGTATCGAGATTGTAAATCCAGATGATTGTCTCTAAATGTTGGGTTCCTCTCTCCCATGCTTGCCCTTAAATCAGAGATCCACACCCTAGCATCTGCGTCCAGGAGTGACTTTAGGCGAGTACGATTTGAAACAAGAATTCCGATACGGTTTGATCGCCATTTTGCAGCACGTTCTCGTTTGGTGGCAGCATAAAGAAGTAAATCGGACTCGGCACTAAAAGCTGCTCCAGCCCGTTCTCCGGCTCCTTTGAGGTGGAATGAAGTCTGATCGTTTGAAATAGAGGGGATGACGCGTCGGTGTGGTGTTGCGTTCTTGGAAGGCAGTTGCGAGACTTCGATGCTACTTTTGCAGTTTGATCGGCTGGACACCAAATTTTCAGACGTGAAACTCTGTTTCTTGGAAAACATCGCCCTACTCCACCGATATAAGATCTCGGACTCGGGAGAAGGGCTGGCGAGGATTCTCGCAATCTGCACATGCGAGATTCCAATGTGTCGTAAGAAACGCGATGTTTTGTTGGTACACTTGATAAGATCAGGTGGGACGATACAGTTGGGCAGTCTCCCTCCCCGTATGTTTTTCTTGTTTGGATACGAGTCGCGAACCTTTCCGACAGTGTCACTTTCGAAAAGTATTCCATCACCAGGCTTCTGAAACAGATCTATATCGGAATTAAAGAATAGACCAGAGTTCAAACTGCTGGTAGACCAGAGAACTTGACGGAACGGAAAAGCGGAGGCGGCGAAGAGACAGAATGCTAGATTGGAAGCTGTTCCATTCAAAAAAAAACTGGAGCTAGCAGCCTCAAGCGTATTGACAGTATATACGGGTTGCAACTCATCAGCCGAAGCGAGTAGTAATATAAGACGTCTGAGAGCCCTTCGTCCTAGTCGTGTACCACGATCGAGAGCCGCGATATCTGAAGTATCTGCAGCTGCAAACGCTTTCTGGAGCTCCGCTCGAGAACAATTTGCTGCTGCCTGAAATTTAGGACAAGACACAGAACAAATTGGCGCATCTGCGGATGCATACCGCCGGAGCCAGAACTGTCTCGCTCCGTCCATAGTCGCCTCGTCAAAAAGAGCCCATCGGTGTTTTAGACTATCGTTGCGTTGTGCCATGGATCTCGCAACACCACATAACGCAAAGCGTACATCTTTCGCACTCACGAGCCCAACTCTTTGTCTGGCGACATTGGCCAGCACTTCGGGAGGTGAGTCAAGAGCACAATGACTAGGCCGTGGACAGAATATCAAATCAGCGACTTGTGGCGTCAAGTGTGCAGAAACAAGAGAAGCTGGGTTACACTCACCCGAGAATGGGCACTTGGAACTAAAGCGCACGTGCCTGAATCCAATATCATGCGTGCCCAGATTAATTTCAGTCACGTACAAGAAGACATCAAGCACGCCGGTGGGGACTGCTGATGGGTTGGTCGGTTGGATTACTTTATTGATCAACCCTGAACGTCGAATTGCATGCAGCGTCACGATTGCGAGCAATGCCGCACGATCAGAATCTACATCAATCTTGCCTGTGATCGCATGCTGGAGCGCACAGAGCTCTCGCCTCTCAAACAGCCCCCGACAGAAAAATGTCTTCACCACATTGACGGGGGAGGTTTTGCTTTTGACGGGGGAGGTTTTACTATTGCTGCAGCTGCAGCCCAGTCGACACTCGCTCCTTATGCTCTTACTTGGCCGGCGTCGCTGATCTGCGGCTTCGGAAGCAGTCCACGGCTGCCGAGTCGTGCTACACCTGTAGACAGGTAGGTAAAGATTAAAGTCTACAAGCCGGCACGGCCGGCAAGCTCGCTTCGCGAGCTATCGGCCACTCGTTTGATTGAGGTTGCTCGCTGCGCTCGCTTTAAACCACTCATTAAAGCTTTATGTTGCTGCTCGGACGACTGGATTCGCGCGACTGCAAAATAGTACATAGACCCTGGGGAGAGGGGGGGGGGTGCTCCGCCAGTGAGGTCCAGTAGTCTCCCGCCACACGACCTCTCCCGGCGCATGCAAAAAAACGTGACTTTAGACGCCGCCGTCGCGCGACGCTGCCGACGTTGCCGGAGCAAGCCCCCCCATTGCCGCTGCCAACTTCACCACTCCTTCACCATCGACCTCTCATCAGCCGCGCCCTGCGCCGTCGCTCACGCCGCGCCGCCGACCGTCGATCGACCCGTACTCCACATTATTAGAATCTCCAGCACTCCTCATTATTAGTTGTAGATCTAAGGCTCGCTAGGCTCGTACCCCAACACAACCATGAATCTCTTCCGTTTTGCGGGAGATATGAGTCACGTCGTATCAATCATTGTTTTGATTCTACGTCTGCGCGTTTCCAAGTCCGCGGTGGGAATTTCGCTCAAGACACAAGAGCTATTCCTGATTGTTTTCATGACACGGCAACACCTGCCACGTCTATTTTAGCTTGTCAGCACCCGCATATAAACCTTCCATATGCAGGTACCTTGATCTCTTTACGACATTCTACTCAATGTATAACTCGTTTATGAAAGTTGCGTGCGTATGCTTAAAGGCTCGTGCTCTTCGTTTCTTTACCACTATCACTTTAGGTACATAACTGCAACAGCATCGATCATTTACATGATTCGATTCAAGGAGCCGTACAAATCGAAATACGACAAATCCCAAGATTCATTTCTACACTTCAAGTTTGCCGTTGCACCGTGTGCGATGCTTGCTCTTTTCTCCTGTCTTATAAAGCGAGAACTTAACCCTGTTGACGTTCTATGGACATTCTCTATATTCCTCGAAGCGTTGGCCATCGTACCACAGCTCTTTGTTCTCCAGCGCTACCGTGAGGTCGAAAATCTGACAGGACATTACGTCTTTTTCCTTGGCGCGTATCGGTTCCTTTATATCCTCAATTGGGTCTACCGTTCTTATTATGAACCATTTTATCGCCATAACTGGCTTGTATATATATCCGGCGCTATCCAAACCGCCCTCTACGTCGATTTCTTCTACTATTATATTGTCTCGAAGTACTATGGCGGCAAACTCACGCTTCCGACGTGAATTACCTGCACAGCTACTGCGAGAGAAACAGTTCTCCGCCTTTCCACAAGCTCGGGCACTACCAGAGCAGCACCCAGCGTCGCAACCCAGCGTATGCTTAACGCGGGATTTCGACACGGCGCAGATGAGGCCCAGGCGCCTGAGTAACGCCTGAGTAACGCCACCTTTAGCACGGGGCTCGGGCGGCTGGCATAAAGCCGCTGCGGAGAACGCACCAGAAAAACAGAAAAACAAAAAAACCGGACCCATTTCCCCAAAAAGCAACCCAAACAAGCAGGCTAAAGCAGCCCTTTGAGATTTGGGGAAATATTGTAAAAACTTTTTCACATAGCGAAATTCGTGATTCAACTCGAAAGCAGCTTAAACCGTATAAAAACAATATCGAATTACCGTCGAACTATCCAACAAAAATTTATCCTACTAATAGTATGAACCATGTTTAGCGGTGGGGGCGCGTACGGGCCCCGGAACCTTGAATTTTTCCATGTAGCTTGGTTCTGGTATAATATTATCTCATCTGCAGAGACAGTGGGTTGATTCTCTGTCTCTTGTCATACACTTGCTGGATAAGCGCCGCTAGTCACTGTCGGACCTAACAAAAATCAGCCGACCAAAACCGCTCGCGTAGAGGCGCTGCGGCTGCATGGAGGCTTCGACGATGTGACCAGCAGCTGCATGAACGGATATTTTGCGGCGGGCGCAAATACAATGGGTGGCCGGGAACTAAAAGATGTTGCTTTGTTGGAACTCCCATTAACAGTCGACGAGTCCGGGGCCGCGCGCGCGAACGCGTTCCAGATGTTTGGGGGTCAGTTCATTAGTGCTTCCGGCAGACAGTCTGGGTGCATGATAGACCAAGTCAGGGGCGTCATGGGTTTAAAGTTGGCAGGGGAGGCAGCGTTGCGGATGGATTTGGTCGCAGATCGTGCATCTTCGCACCCAATCCTGGGCGAAGCAGCTCTCATGTCTCGACCGCGGCTGATTGTCTCACTGCGAGTACGTAAAGATTCGAAGTGCATCGTAGATGGCGCAGTAATTGGCCAGGTGAGGCAACGGGGCCACTTCTGGAAAGCGATAGCCGACTACCACACGTCTGAGCTAGCGGAGCGGGAGTCAGTACCACTGCGGTATGCGAGGATCACCCAAGGCGATGAGCTCAGGGGTCCGAACGCCTCCTACAAGTGCCACGCTTGGACGGAGCCGAGATCGGCAAAAAGAACAGGTGGGGAGTGCCATACATAAAGCTACTTCCTCCTAATTTTCGTTTCGTAATACGGATTGCAGAGAACCTAGCGCAGTTATAGTAGAGACCCGAGACCCATGCCGCCGGCGATGGAAAGGATCGAAGAAGCACTGAACCGTCGGGGGAACCCAAGTAGAGGGCAATACCCCAAACTAGGGCAACGACCGCTGGTACCCAGTCAAGCGCCACAACAACTGGCGAGGAACCGAGCAATGGCCAGCCGCCGCGTGGGACTTTTCGTGCCCCCAGAGTCGCGCTGGGGGCCCCGCGTGAGGATCTTTTCCGTGGATCCTGAGCGGGCAGCGCGAGGCTGTGCACGTCATAGACCCACCGATCGGGCTCCCGTGTGGGTCTCAGTGCACCGGAGCGTTATCTCCTGAGGTGAGGTCTTTCCAGGATACGACGACGCGCTGACAACACGGGCACAAGCATGTCCTGTAGTCGTTTAGATAGGCCGGGCTGGTGCCCGCCAACGAAACCGTCACAGTTGGTGGCGAATCGCTGGCAGCAGGCCCACTAGACATGGGAGCACACCTCTGATCATTCGTCACGGCGTGGAGTCTCGCAACGACCGTGACATGTTGCAACCGCCACCCGCAGACCAAGTTTGAATAGCCGCGCCGCCCAGCACCGTCTGCGGGCAGCACTACCGCGCGGAATTACCACCAATCAACACGAAATGCAGCAGAAAGTATCGCACAAGCACCACGGACCGGGGCGTGCCCGCAACAGCCCGCACGCGCAACGCACAGCTGCAACGGCAGCTCCCAAAAGTTGTGCCAGGGCAAACCAGGAACAAATCGAATAGTTAGGATCGACATGGGTGGGAGTGAGGTGGGAGGCCACCACTACAGCCGACACCGTAATATTCGACAACCCCAAGTCCCTCGAGCTGACCCAGCTCTAGGTCACGAGCAATTACCCGAGAAGCGGTGCTGCCGAGGACGCATCCTGGCACTCCGGTGCCCCTGTCCGCCGCGCTCGAGTAGGCACCTACTTTGTCCTGGCGCACGGGGCACTCGAGGAGGAGGCGAGAGCGTTCCTTGGCGTGCTCCTTGTGGCACCGCAGTTCGCTTCAATATCAGTTGTTTCAACTCTGTCACCTGCTGAATGACCCCAGCAGACGACGAATGCCAAAAATCATATTTGACAGCTAGGTCTAACTAAGAATCACCATTCTCGTCATCGTCATCTCCATCTTGCTCGGCATTCTCTGCGGCAAGGCGGTCCATCATAGCTTGAAGCTCTGTTTCCTCTCGAGCAGAGACGGCCTTAGGTGCCATTTTGATGTCGATTTTCCCACCCTTCAGTAAAATCTTGTCCGTAACAGCAGCGATTGCAGCAGTGAGGGTCTGAACACCGAGATCCTTATCAAGGGTCATGGTTGTCATGACATACATGGGTGGTGCAATAAGTCTGATTTGGATTGGGCAGTCATCTATTGAAGCCTCCTGACCCTTGAACAATGCCTCACGAATCGCATTTATTCCTTCGTAGGTGAAGCAAGTAACCTCAATGTCTGCACGGACCTTTATTGGCTGCGGTGAGAGTTTCTTCTTCACATAGTCGGTGAGACAAGCCTTGGTCTCAGTATCCATACTGGGACACGCCTCGAAGACATCTTCGTTCTCGCCGCTCAGGCATAGCTTAAAAGCATCATAAGCATGGCCGTACTTCTTGTATAATGGCCAACCAACTATCTTGTAGAGCTCCTCGAGAGTCTGCCCACATCGGTCTGCCACGTGTCGCATCACCCGATGCACCGCTTTCGCTTTGTTGTAGCGCCTGTACCGATTGTTTTTTCAGGGTGGTGGGACGTCGACACTGGGAAATCGCTCTTCACATTTTGCAACATCTTCTGCGGAAACGCGTCGCTTGGACAAATCGATGTAGCCCTTTTCCTTATCAACACGCAATACCATCACCACTTCATTTCGATTTACGCGAATCAACTTGTTGATACTTCGGATCCGCCGCCGACTCAGCTCACTCAACAAGATCATGCCCTCGATGTTGTTATATTCCAGCAAAGTCACGTAGGCTCCCATCTCCGCGATGTTCCTCACATTAACCATCACCAGCGATTCCAGTTCAGGGAAGGGTTCCTCATAGAATCGGCATTCAAGCCGCTTCGACTCGCCAAACGAAGCCATTATCCAGCGATGAGCGGAGTTTTTGCAAAGAAGAGACGGTGCTACTGTATTGTTCTAGTCATCAGCACGCCAGCGTGGCCGACAATGTACGCCTAGACCGGCCCATTCGAAATACGTAAGTAGACAGAACCACCATGGGGTTTAATTTGAACCACCATTAGAGGACCATTAGGAGCGTTCGGCAGGCCACAACCGAGTCCCATGCTTTAATCTACGACACTTAGGAGAGGCCCGGGGTCGCCCCCTGTTTTTTTTTTCACGCGCTGGATTCAATTGTTGAACCCACATTGAAGCGGCATTGCAGACCAGACCAGCCTCCCGCACGCCGATTTCGCAACCCGGGGCGACTCCGACGCCTTCGCCCGCTCGTCACATATGGTCTACGCCTTCGACGACAGCCAGTCCGCCACGCGGTCGACTCGGCGACCCGGGGGGGGTTGTCGCTAGCACGAAGGCGACCCTCGTGTCTTTGTGGCTTCGCTTTGCAGGTCGATTTCGACATACAGGCACCATTATTTCACCATGCAGGTGCAGAAAAAAGCACACAGAGACCAGGAACGGAACCTGGGCGTCGATGGGCTGCTGATTGACGTGGATTTTGCCGGTTGTTTTGCGCACTGTCTAAGAAAGCTACTTTCCTCACACAACTTGGCCGGTATCCGAGCGGTCCTGGCATATCTTGGCCGAGCGCAGCCCTAAAAGGTGTAGCGGGAATCACGCTTGTCATCGCTGCGCATGAACTCAGTGCCGGCCATTGCAGGATTTGGGAACTGCGCAAATCCTGCAAATGTCGTGATCTTGCCAAACCTTGCCGTTCTTCTGGTAGCCCCGTTAGCCCAATGATTAAAATTTGCAAATTCTTGCTCTCGTCACGGGTCGGGCTGCTGCATGCGTCTAAGCAACTCAATTACGATTCGTGGATATCTATCCTAGGCGCGATGTTGCAACTATCACCACGAGACGCGCTATGCTTGGTTCAAGCTGATCCCCAGATGATCGATCGGCTCATGAGGCCACTCTGCCGCCCACTTAGCGTGTTGGTGCAATTGATAATTGCAGCGGAAACATACGGCGACAGTGAATTGCGCAAAACTATGAGCGCCCGCCTCTATCTAATGAATATATCGGGTCGCGTACGTGTGTGGGCACGAGGCGAACATACCGGATACATGCATACAGTTTGCCGTCTAGCTTGTGAGATGGCCAAGTTTGGGGAAAGTCAAGGACAGCGCAAACTTGCAACGGCTCCAGCCGTAGATCTATGTGTTACTTTCTGTACTAACCAGGGAGTTTTTCAGGTGGCATGTGAGGCTATTTCCGCGATAGCTCATTGCAGAGATGACACAGATGAACAAGTGGTTGAAGACGCTCGAATTTTTAATGCTATTCTTGATTCGGCATTATCGGAGATGCGTTCTCAGAACGCTTATCCGAGAGTGACACTTGCTCTAGTTATGACGCTAAGCCTGCTGAGTGCATCTCAAAAACTTGATGCGCAAACTATCTCCAAAATTATGTCATTGTCTGAGGAGAGATGGCCGGTTGCACAGGGGCTTCTTTTACACGAATTGATTCAATTTTGTGAGCTGGACAATTACCAAGACGGGCATCTCGCAGGATATGGTCGTGGCAGATTTCGAGAAGGTTTGCATCGAGTTTTAACTTTGGAAATCCCACACAATTCAACTGAGCTAGTGTTAGTCAACCACCTAGCTTGGCTTATATTTCACCAAGATAACATCATTGCTGACCTCGCAGTGAAGTGTCTGGGGAATGCACAAAAATTCCCTGCGAATGTGTGTCACAGTATTGAGCAAGGATGTGTTCCCATACTATGGCTTGCAGCGAGTGCCAACGAAATCGTGACTGTGCGCCGAAAATGCTCGGTTTGTGTCGCTCTGTCCAACCAACGCAACTTCCTTGCAGACTGCGTGTCAACGTCAGCACTTCTTTCCCGTGAGCAGTCGGTCCCACGCCATGGTGTTGTGTGGTGGTGGGAGCGTAATAATTGAACGCGCTCTCTAGGTACAATGCTTACAGAAGAATGTTGTGTTGGCTCTGATTCTTCTGGCCGAAGAGCAGCCAGTATCGAATGTTGTTACTTATCGCATATGCGAAATTATAGTGTCTTGCACGACAGACCACGGCAGCATGGTCGATCTCCTTCAAGTTGTAGCAACCCTCCTGGAACCCAGCGAGTTACATCAGCAGATGATGCCACTTGATCACAAAAATGGAGCTCCTAGCAAAGGTATCGTTGCGCTTGTGCGATCGACTCAGGGCGACACAAAGATAATCTTACCACCAGTTGATTTCCTTGCTGGACTGAGCTCCACGCTCCTTGCAATTTACAGCAGCCTGCATGCGAACAGCGGCCAGCTCCCTGTTCTCCGAGGTGATTACGCGATTTGGGACAACATATTTGCACAGGCCTTAAATAGTGCGCATGTATCTGAAAGGTGAGCCAATATATTCATGCGGGTACGCACGTAGTGAATGCAGGCTGGAGCTAAGTGAACTTGCCACATCTCTCAGAATATCAAGATCTTACTCTGTCGCAGTGGCTGGTGAATACTATCGAGCCTTAAAATTACGAGCGACGGCCAGCAATGTGACTGCAACGCAAGTCCTCGCAATTGCACTTCGGTGCCAATCATCTAGCCTTGTGGTCAGTACCAGAAAATGTATCAGTGTATGGTGGTCAGAGTGCGCTCTGTAACAATACCCCCCCCCCCCCCCCGGTACTGACCACAAGGCTAGATGATTGGCACCGAA